AACATTTGGCGCCCACTGTGAGGCCGATCAAGACAGCTCTTATCGGCCACGCTTATGGTATTCACCAGAAGCCATAGCAGACGCGCAACAAACGATTTAAATCACTCAACTACCATGGACAACGAAGCCACATTGAGGAGACTGATTGACCAGGTCGAACAGATGCGGCAACAACGCGACGCCGATCTGCAAAACATGCGTGCCCAGCACGAAACCGACCTAGCGACGATGCGGACCGCCAATGAAGCTGATCTAGCGGCGCTACGCGCTGAAAACGAGCAGATTCGCGCCCAGCTCCCTCGGTGCCCCTTTGATCATCCTCCTGAGGCGAGCAACCTCCACGAGGAAGAAGGGCACTCGGTTTCTCAGCCCCGAACTGCGACTAGGGCACCGACTCCACGACCGGCCGCGCACCGGTCTCATGTTCCGACGAACAAGTCGTTCCATGAAGTCAGCAAAGCCCTAACTCATGTCACAGGGGGTCAAGCAACCTTCCTCCGTCATCCATTTGTGGATGGCATCATGGAGACACCACTCCCTCAGGGTTGGAAGCCTCTCCACCTCGATTGTTATGATGGCACGACGGACCCCGACGAGCACATCGACGTATATACGACACAGGTAAACCTCTACACTAACAATGATGCTATATTGTGTAGGGTTTTTTCAACCTCGCTCAAAGGGGCCGCGCTCAACTGGTACACCCAGCTACCTGCCGAGTCAATTGACAACTTCAGCACCCTGGTCAGACGGTTCACAACACAATATGCGACGAGCCGACCTCATCACATAACATCAGCTTCCCTGGCCAGTCTCAGACAGAGTGACGAGCCACTCCGGACGTTCATGGAACGATTCGCCGCCATCCCGGTAAAGATCCGAAATTTGAATCCCGAGGTCGCACTGCACTCCATGCTCATGGCGTTGAAGCCAGGATCTTTCGTCGATAGCCTTTGCCGACGACCTCCTCCCGACATGGACGAGCTCCGAGCTCGCGCTGCTGGGTACATCCAGATGGAGGAGCATGCAAATATGATCTCAAGGTTCGGACTCGACCTTAGCATATCAAGGTTCGAACTCGACCTTGGTTAAGAAAATGTAGTCTCAAGGTTCGGACTCGACCTTGGCATATCAAGGTTCGAACTCGACCTTGGTTAAGAAAATATGATCTCAAGGTTCGGACTCGACCTTGGCAAGTCGTCATGGTTAATGTGCCAATACCGAAAATGTATGGGAATGGAGTTGCTTTGTTGGTTATATTATTTAATTATTTATTAAATAAGGAAAAAGATTTTTGAGATAACCATGAGGAATTTTTACGTCCTCATTTTTCATGTATGTGTTTATGCTTCAAAGCTCGAAGAACCTAAACAAGGAGGGGGAATGAGAAATCCCGCTCTAGGTGTGGAAATGTATGTTGTTAGTGGGATTGACCCTCAAGCCTGTCTCTGTTGTATGTCTATGCATGAGGGGTTTTCCCGAAATGTGCCTTTTTCTATTCTCTATTTCTCCTTGAATGTTCTAATTAATGTAATTAGTATATATGTATGTAAGAGTAATGTTTGTGTTTGACTTTTAATTGTAGATTTTGGTGTTCCTATGAAAATCCTAAGAGAATACATTGGTAGTTGTATGAGAAGATTGTTTGAAGACATACTTGTATGAGTAAATTGTACTGTTTTTAATGCTTATTGCATGATTTAGAACACTTTCACCAACTGTGTGAATAGATTGATGGTTTGGGATGCAAATACAAAAATCACATATTTTAGAGTTTCTCATCATAGAAACCACGCTGAGTGTCATTTATGGCATTAAACGTCAAGGTGACAAAGAACTGAAAGTGTTGTATGTGACTCTCAGGTTGAGCGTGAGTTTCACACTAAACGAGGCTCAATCAAAGAGTCAGAGTTACTCCCTAGAAACCTTGCACTAAGTGCTCACATTGAGCGCCAGTTGTCCTGTTGTGCTTCCTTCCTTCTTTGTTCCATGAATTCTATTGGTGTAATGTGAATCTTATGTTACTTCTCTCTTGTAGTCTATGATTGGCAATGATGTAAATTCATATGTTATTCAATGTTAACCTTTAATGAATACAATCGATGATTATATGATATGAGATAAATTGATATGATTGAAACGACATGATGAGGTTATATGATAATGAGACATGATAATATGATACGATAATGTATAGAGTCTTGATTTACATGCATTATTTGCATAAATGTTTTTAAGGATACAATATGAAATATACCGCCAAGAAAGACCCCCTTGTGTAAAAGTTTGGGGATCAGTCCTTGAAGATAGCTCAATTTGTAAGTCTTGGTCTCACCTATTGTTTGCATGGGATGTATCTTGTGCGGCTTAACAATCGACTTAACTATTCTAATTAACTAGACCCTAATAGTATGTCCTTCTAATGAGAGTGTGTAAAGGGTGTGACCCGACATGTACTCTTAGACTACTCTATGTGTGTTGCTAACAACAATGCACCATGTGATGTTTTATTGACGTTACATGCATGATAATATGTAGTTCGTATCCATTACATGTGCATTTTAATGTTATATGTTAATTATTTTTTATGTCATGAATCAATGAAGTGTAATATTGTTATTAATCTGTCTATGTTATGTATACATACGTGTCTTATTTGTGTTTGATTATTCGGTGTGCATTCCTATACCGTAAGCTAGAGTGAGATATTTCTCACTCTCTTTCCTTTTGTATTGTTTTTCTTTAATTGTTATGTAAGTGATCATCAACACAAGATTTAGGATGTTAACGATGAAACTTATGCTTCAATGTTGAACTTTGCTCTGATAGGACTAGATTAGGATATTATTTCTATTAATTTATTTCAAAAACCTTAGTTTTATTTTTTTTATAATTTTCATTGATTGTGCTATTTTGTTCAAATTACGGATGTAATACTCTCTATATGAACATATTTAATATCTAATTATGAATAATTATATTATTCAAATTTTATTATTTATGTATTATATTATGCGAGATAAAGAGTGTCACAAAAATAAAATAAAAAGATAAAAAAAATTATAATAAAATGGAGAATCTAACCGAAAAATATATATAAAGTTAAAGAAGCAAATAACTAATTTTGTAAAATTCTCTCGTTCTTTTACTTATCGTCCGAGTTCCAATTTTCATTTGTCGAAGGCGACAAGGAGATTATTATTGTACCTGCACGAGGGTACTCCGGTAATTTTGCTACTCCTGCTGGGTCTTCGTCTTCCATGATGTATCCTAGGGAAAGAGAGGGGTACCTGCAAAAGGCACTTCAATGCTTAAGTCAATCCTCGGTCTCAGAGATATCAATGCTAATCAAATTGATAATTATGAAAACGTACCTTTGTTTGTCACTAGTCACACTTATTTATACTAACCTTGGTGGGCTCAGGCCCATATGCAGGCCCATAAGAGGACGAGAAGTCCTCAGTGCGATCAAGCGAGGAATTATGGATTCTTCTAAGATGCTTTCCCTAATATTCATATCATTATATGGTATAATTATCATTCATTATAGACCTTGAATAGTGAGACACAACCTTAATTTTCTTCAACCTTGTTAAAATAAAATAATGATTCTATCCTTCTCTGGCATATTGTCAGAATCCTCTAACAGGTGATGTTAAGCAATATCACATGCTGAGGAGGGAATTTTTTTTCTTTCTTTTTCTTTTAAAGGTTGGTTGATTTTCTTTTTAAGTAACTATTGTATTGGAAGGAAGTATTTGCTCTTGAAAATATTAACTAATTTTTATGTTAGAAATAGTAAGATACGTATTTTTCTTTTGACAAAATTTATTCGTTGGTTGATGGGCAAGGAATATATCACTATTTTTTTTCTTATCAATTTAGAGTCTATTTAAAAATTGAAGTTAGCTCAACTTCCGCACTCTAAGCCGCATTATATTTGAGCGCAGATATATAAACAAACGCTTTTTATATAGAAGTTGGGTTATATAGGCATGGTTGTTTCAAATTAAAAGTGATGAAATAAAAGGAAGTGAAATAGTGCATGTTTGGATTTCAATTCTAACGTGAATTTTCACGTTTAGTTGAAGTAAAAAAATTTTGCTTCCACGTAAAATCCATATTTAACATGGAGAGAAAGTGTAAAATTACGTTTGAAAATCTAATCTAAACATGCACATAGGAGAGATAGATGACATTTCAACTTTTGGTTGAAGAGAAATGAGAGAGACCATGCACATATAACATTCTTTTCCCTCGTCGAAGGCTTGAAATTGGAGGGATTCCATTACGGTAAATCCTTGTCCATGTTCAGCAATGTCTCACATGTAAAAACAGTTTTCATTTTCCCATGGGGTGCAGATCTTTTTGCGGTTGCTACAAGAGGTTTTCAAAGATAAAATAGTATTTGCTATTAACTTGATTTTTTTTTCTCCTTAACTTTTTCTATTTAAACCAAATGTTTTTTTAGTTTTATTTTCTCTTTATTTTTTTTTACAATTATATTATTAGTTTATTTTTTTTATAAAGATAGAAAAAATTACAAAGATGATCACAATGAGAATTGAACCTAGGTCCTCATACTTCTAATTACCTCAACCCCTCCTCACCTAACCATTAGGCTAACCATAGTGGTTATATTATTAGTTTAGAAGTATCACTAATGTTATAATAACTACTTTTTTTAAATTATTATTTTTTATTTATAAACAAACTTTGATAATAAATAACTTAGGATTATGTTTTCAATCTTAAAGAATTTATAAACAAGAGTTATAAAGTATGATAATAATATTTATATTAAAATTAATTATCATTTTATAAAATCTGCAATATGTAATAATATTATTAAAATGTTACAAAAATATCATCTTGATAATTAATATTTTTATTAATATGTAAGATTATTGTAAAAAGTATTTAATAACATTAACTTTAATTTACATTAAATATAATATTATAAAAATAAATTAACAACATTCACTCATAATTTGACAGTAATATTTTTACTGTTTACTAAAAATACATCATCTTGTTATAGTGGAGTGGAGTTAGATGAAGTTTACTAATTTGTAAACATCATTAACATTTGTATATACAAACAGCTATAATTTGACTGAAAAGTAAGATAAAAAAAAAACAAAATGAAATTTGAAAAAAATAAGATTATATCACTTGAATGATTTTACAAAAATGTATCATTTCATCTAATTATAACTTTTATGAATTTTTATTTCACTTATTTTCCTTTAAGCCTCATTTGGCTTCCCAAATTTTACATATTGATCATGTGCGCGACTAACAGTATTATTACAATGATTTAGAGAGCCATCATCCTGACGAACTCTTGATAATTAACTCGACCATCACCATCCAAATCAGCCACTCTAATCATCTGCTCCAGCTCTTCTTCTGTGACCTTCACTCCAATATTTCTCATCACAGATAACAACTGTACATAAATATATATATCAACTATATATATGTTTAATTACACCAACTTATAATGTCAAACTAATTAATTGAGATTTCAACCTCCGTTGGTGATATGTAACCATCTTGATCTTTGTCAAACAGTCTGAAAGCTTCCTTCAATTCCTCTTCTGCTTCAGTTTGCTTCTCGATCCATCCATACACATACACATGCATTCATAATGCATTAATTTTAGCGTCTTTTTTCAGCATATGTATTACTCTCATTCATAATTCAATTAAATTAAATTTCTTGATCCACACGAACCTTCATTTTTCTGGCCATGAGATTCAAGAACTGCCCAAACTCTATGGTTCCGTTGCCAACCATATCCACTTCATTCATCATGATTTCCAACTCCTCCTTCCTAGGACTATTTTGATTTAGTGTTCTAATTGCACTAGCTAATTCTTCCATGGTTATGCAACCTTTTTCCAATTTACATTATATGTACCAAATACACATGTCATTACATTAGCAAAGACTTAAAAGAGAGCAAATTTTAATAATAGACAAAACTTAATTAGATATATTACTATAGGTATTGGTATTGGTATTGTTTTACAATTAAAATTAAAATTTTATCCAAAAATATATATTAAGATTTAATGGAATCATTTGTTACATATATTACTGAAAAATGAAACTAATTAAAAAACGGCATCAATAATACATATGATGTACTCTAAGTTTTATCCTTCAAGGAGAAAGCATGGATGCAGCACATAAGAGAAACAATGCATTACATAGAAAATTAATTAGTCCAATTATGAAACAACCAAAGAAAGTTGAGAGGAAGGGTCAGAAGAGATACACACCATCTCCATCTCTGTCAAAAAGACAGAAGGCTTCTAGAAACTCACCAATCAGATCTTCACTCAGCAATTCCTTCATATTAACTGGCTCCAAATATACACCAAACACAAAAGAGAGGGAAGGGAGAAGGAAAGAAAGACCACTTGGAAAAGCAAAATAAATATAAAGGCCACATATATTTATTTATATGCATGCAGCAACATAGGCAGCACAAAAAATTAAGAGGGAACTTTGCATTGTTATGTATATTCATGCACCAACCGCCCAAAGTTAAGGCCTACCAACTAGTTATTTAAAAAAAATAATTGTACGAAAGTAGGAAATGAGGTTAGCAAAAGTTTTGCCCCGTTGACGATATATATATATATATACAGCAGAAAATATGACTGGAATATGATAATATAAAATTTGCTATTTGTTAAGATACTTTAAAAAATGTGTTAAGTAGAAATAAATTAGTTTATTAAAATTTTTTAAAACAATTATATTTTTCAAAATAATTAAAACTATTTGATAAAGATTAGTAAATACAGTTTAATGCATATGACCCTAAAAATTCAAATACCGTTACTATTTCAGTCCAATTTGAGAATTTTTTGTCCGGAATCTGTGAAAGTCTTTCTATATGACTTTCTGAGAAGAAATGACAATATGTGTGAAATTTTCTATGGTTTTCCTAGTTCCCACTTCCTATTCCCATTGTCTAGCGTGTAGATGCCGGTGCACAATTTATATGCCATCACTCTGCTTGTTCTTATCGGGCAGAGACTACACATAAAGAAACATAGGAAATTAAAAAATTAATTTATCTATGTATGTAGTTTTATTAAAATTGCGTGGAATATAGAGCATATAGCTAGTTTTGTTTCTTTGAAGTGAAAGATATTCTTAAAAATTAAACGATAGAGAGTTATAGAGGAGCTAAGTTCTATAGAATAATAAATGAAAATTAAGGAGATCATATTTAAGTTTTCTTTTTCAACTTTTTTTTGTCCAGGATTGAGAGATGTGGGATGGGATTTTAGGATTTTCGGTTTGAACTATTGCGCTTGCGACATAATTCAAAATGGCCCAAAGGCTATCAAAGATGCAGGCTTAATAAAGAGCCCAAATCCAAAGAACTATTGCGCTTGCCACATAATTCAAAGTGTGGCATTTAATAATATTGTTAGAGTTAATTATATTTTCTTTTAATAAATACAATAAATAATGTTACTTATGATTTATATAAATACTACATGAAAACATTAAATAAATGCATTATTACACTTGTTCAAGTCCACTTATATATATAAGTTTGATTTTAATTTAAATTATATCGTAATTGTATATTCATCCAATGGGAAAAGTGTTTGGGTTTATTTTCACTATATTCATCCAAGGGTAAAACATTCACTATTACTTAGGTGGGTAGGATGGTACACTAAAAAACGATATTGATCAATAAATGGAGTACTGTTTCTGATTTAATCATGAAAGAGTATTATAATTAGTACAAAAGAAAAAGTACCTTAATTAGTAAGATTCATCCAGAGGGTAAGCATATATATTACCTATGCGGTTAACTAAAAAACAATATTGATCAATTATCAAGATTTCTGTTGTTCTAAAAATAAATAAATAAATAAATAAAAAGTTAAGTTTCTGATTTAATAAAAATAACTATAATTAGTACAAAAGAGAAAAAATATATATCTTAATTAGCAATTAATATCATTTTGGAAGAATTTCTAAAAATATGGAACTTACATAGTTTTTACGGAATATAGCATATAGGCGAGAGCATATACCTCAGACTGAATATTCCTGCTCACTATTTTTATGTCAGGATAATGCAAGGAGAAATACACGTGGTTCAAGTTATTTTGATGAAATAATTACTATTTTAAGATTTTTGGAGGAAAATTAAAAGGTAATTATTCCGGTGACTCAAATATGTTTCAAATTCACCTCAAAAAAAAATATATGTTTCAAATTATTGCAAAAATGATTTATTTTCTAAATTAATTGGGCCCAAAAAATAATAATTGAAATTTTGATAAATAAATCCCTGTTTAAAACTACAGATATCAAAATGATGTATTTATAATTCCAAGTTAGGAACTAAAAATGTATTTCTTTTTATTAAATGCAAAGATTAAAAATAATTAATAAATATAAATAGAGTAAAAAAAATTAAAAAGGCATTTTCATATATCAAAAGAATATTTAAAGCCTGTCATGTTACCAAACATGCACTAAAATTATTCCTTCTCTGATCTCTGTCAAGCAACAAATCAGCCTTTCGCAAGATCACAACTTTATGTTGGAATGAATGTTAAGGGCACACGATTCACGAATGTACTAAGAGTATATTTCTATCCATCATCTTATAGAAAAATCACTACATAGAGACATTCGGAGATACCATATTCACACAGGAAAAAAACAATTACATGCCCTTATTAATCAATGATTTAAACATCAAACAAATAATTTAGAGCTTCTTAGGCACCACGTAGTGCCTTAAAAAGACTATTGAACATTAGGAACATCGAGGCTCCCGTTCCAGACATGAACAACCTGCAGACACGTAAGAAATCCTTAGCAGCTAATTAAAAATAAGCAGATACCGCTATTTAGTGGCCATATAACTCTTCACTTGAAACATTTAGGTGACTACTACAGCAACGTGTTCACCACTTCATTCTTTGCCATCTGCTGCCCGAAGTGAGCCTAGTTGAACTGGTGCTTGAGTCTGCACCACTTTGGAAGATCCATACACTGATATATCAGTACCTTGAGCCTTCTCCTTCTCGATCTGCTCCTTAATCCAGAAGTATGTAATCCTCAGCCCATCCTACAATATCAGAATTGAAATACTGTAATAAGTACACACAGAGAACCCTGTTGTTGGTCATCAAGATCAAAAAGTTGGGGAGAATAAGGTAAACTACAAAGATTTTCATTGAGAAAATTTAAACATTCCATTACTCTTTCTTTAAGATAAAGAGCTCAAATTGGATAATACAAGTTTTTAAGACAAAGAAAGGAGAATTCATTTATACAACTACAATAAACTGAGTATGGTGCAATTGACCTATAAGCTATGACTTTCCGCAGACCTTAATATGAACATGGAACAAATTATATAGAATGGAAATACAAAGGTAATTTTTTGCCCAATTAATGATAATAATACCTTCAACTTCATAGTTGGAGCCCAGCCAAGTTTTTCTTTTATCAGTGTATTGTCTGAATTACGACCTCGAACACCCTCTGGGCCAGGAATGTGATGAATAGGAATATTCTTGTTCTCAAAGCTAAGAATAATCTCAGCCATCTCATTCATGCTGACCATCTCATCACTTCCAATATTTACTGGCTCTCGGAAGTCGGATTTAGTCAATCTAAACAAAACAATAGACCACACTGTCAAGCATTATCGGAGACTGAACTAACTGAAGCAAATAATGAAACATCTCCATAAACCATAATTGCTTGATAAACACCGTATTTTAAATTATGTAAAGACAGAAATCCATATTGTAGTTTGTAGCCATTAATCCAATAGTGTTGAATTAGCTAATGTCTTCTTTCAGAAAGCCACAATTTCAAATAAATGTTTTTTTTAGAGAAATCTACTAATAAAATTGACAAATCCTTATATAACTTAACAATTAACATGAAAATTTACTCAACTGACTCTTTTCGTCAATCATGAAAACTGCGAGTTCAGTAACATTAAACAAACAAACACTAGAAAGAACAAAATAATTTAGCTGTGAGCCACAGAATCAACCAAGAGTCCAAGACATACCTAAGCACACCTTCAACACACTCATCAATGAAGGTAAATGATCGTGTTTGTAATCCATCTCCCCACATCTCAAATCTATCAGTGGAAGTGATTGTCTTACGACAAAAAGCAGCAGGAGCCTTCTCCCTTCCACCTGTATGACAAAATGACAAACCCACAAACTTATTAAATCCAAAAGATTACCCCAGAAAAGAGGTCCACCATTTTAACCAATTGGTAAGACAGAACTATCAATGTTTTCAGTTCAGTGAAGAGCATACCTTTCCATGTCCCAAAAGGCCCGTATATGTTATGAAACCTCCCAATGCGGCACTCAATTCCAAAATCCTTGTTATAGTGCTTGCATAACTCCTCTGTTGCAAGCTTCTCTAGCCCATATGCATCTTGCGGCTAAAAATCAGTTAAAAATTAAACACATTAATCCCAACCCCAATGTCAAAATCAAGAACCAACATAAATAGATCACCGACAAACCTCAGCTGGCCATGCATCAGACTCCTTCAAGCTCACATTAGTCTCTAACTGTTTAAATTCAGGGTAGATGCAAGCACTAGAGGCATAAAAAAACCTGGAAAAAAAATTTCAAACAGGTAAAGCACATCATCATATAATGAAAACCGACACAGCATCATAAATGTTTGTTCAATTATTGGTATAATCAAAATGATAGGCATGATGGTTAACCTCTTAATGCCGTTAATCCTGGCAGCCTCAATCATGTTGAAGCTAATCATCGTGTTGTTGTACATAATGACAGAGTGGTTAGACTGAATAAAACCCATCCCACCCATGTCTGCAGCAAGATTGAAAACATGATGAACCCCCTTCGTAACCTTCAGGCAGTTGTCCATGACCCTGAGATCAACAAGATGGAATTCATCACAGAACATGTCCTCAGTCATGTGCTCATTTTTCTTCCAATCAGAAGCAATAATGTAGTGCCCCTCCGTCTTGAGGCGCCGAGCTATGTGCGATGCAATGAACCCCCCAGCTCCAGTGATGGAAATCTTAAGCTTCTCTGATGGCCAGTAAGGCTCTCTCTCAAGATTCTCATAAGTGTACGCACCATAGTCAGTTCTTCCGGTACTTCCCATTCTGCACACCACAACAATTTGGAAAACAAACAGTTCTAATCAAGTCCAAAACATTAGCAAATACTCCATAAACACACCATGGGAATGTTGTGAGCCAAGGGTAAAGTGAAAACAAGGAAGAAGAAAACTGCAATTGACGAAATTTCCTCTTTTTAAGGAATAAGAAACACATGGTGGCACATGAGGGGTACCAGAATGCAATTAATAAATAGAAGCATAAAGAAAACAATTAACTCATTATAGTTGGCACCATAAAAAATAAAAATAAAAATAAAAAATCCTCCGACTACCTTTCCCAAAAGAAAGGGGGGAAATTAAACTAGAATAAATATTTCGTGTTTGGGTAAAGGGTAATAAATTGAAGCAAAGCGTAACATAATGGGTGGGTGAGAGTAAAACAAAAAGGAATGATGCGAAAAATACGAAAAGGAATGATCTTATATAGAAGACAGGGCAAAAGCGTTACAGGAGACGTTGAAAAGAAAGGCAGGAGTATTGGAAGTTTAAACCCTAAAGATGGATAATAAAATAGAAATATGTGTGGGGGAATTGAGGATGAACCTGTGCAGAGGAAAAAGAGAGGCTGGAGATAATGCAGGGAGAGAATGTGATTAGTGATATGAGAGGGCAATGGGAGAAATGGGTAAATATAAGATGAAAAGTGGAGACCACTCATTGGTTGAGTGGGACAAGGAGCCACCACGCACACAGGTCACAACGTTTCATTGTTTGCGTTCTTCCTCCACCCTCAAACCATTATCCTCTACTTTTAACTTTTAACTTACTTTTCTAACAAAACTTCGTAAATTCAAAAATAGATGACTTATATCAGTACTACCATAATGTTCATTTAAATAGGTGTAGAGGAAGCACATTTAACACGTTGCATATTCAAAATCGGGGAACTGTTTCAACGTGAAAAACAATATCCCACTATTTTGGATAAAATGTTAGAAATATCACCTAATACTGGAACCATAGCTCATATGTTCATCCTAAACTTTATTACCGTTATTTTTACTTTTGATTGTTAAAAACAAGTTTAAAATATTATTTTTAGAATTTTATCTGTGTTTGATTCAGTTTTTTTTTCTGGCTTTTCCTTTTCTTTCAAAGAAAATAAAAGATAAGTCGAACAGATTTTGGCGTTTTTAGAAAGAAAAAAAAGAACTTATTATTATTAAAGATAAAAGAAATTCGTAGGAGTAGCTTTAGTGAAGCTTTTTTCTGGCTTATTGACAAAGCATAAAATAAAGAACAAATAATTTGTCATTTAAGAGAAAAATTATTTCTGAACTTTTTCATCTAGCATTCTAACATTTTTTTTTTTGCAAAAATTTTAGATTCAAACATATACTCAATACGGTTCGTCCAAGTTGGCTGATAACTTCCCTTCGGTGGGGTTTCGTCTTGCCGATCCGGTTGCTCTCCAAACGAGATCGCCTTCATGGAATGTTCTCGGCTTTAAGTTGGAATTAAAGCGTCGACTCATTCGTTGCTTGCATGCCTCGACCACAATCTGTGCCTTTTCTCTTACTTCGTCCAGGATATCGAGCTCGGCGCGGATGCCGTTTTCATTACTCTCTTCATGAAAGTGAGTTCGCCGGAATGACGGTTCACCAACCTCTACCGATATCATTGCGTCGGTGTCGTACGTCAATTGGAAGGGACTTTCTTTTGTGCTTGAGTGGGGCATGCATCGATACGCCCAAAGGACTTCAGGAAGCTCTTTGGCCCAGGCTCCTTTGGCCGAGCCGAGCTGTTTCTTCAGCTCGGTGAGGATAACTTTGTTGGCTGCTTCGGCCTGACCGTTGGATTGCGGGTGTTCAACAAATGTGAACCGGTGCCGGATGCCAAGATTCTCAAGGAAGGTGTTGAACTTTTTATCCGTAAATTGAAGCCCATTGTCAGAGATAATGACGTACGGAATGCCG